TTATTCATTATATATATATATATATATATTTAGGAATCTATAGATACACATACATGGTTACATGATTAGAACATGAATGGCCCAATTTTGAATCTCAATACAGTTGCATTATGAATGGTTGACATGTCATCATGAGTGAGAATTTGAGTGTACTGGCCTTGTTCACACTGTTGATCATACCAGTTCATGTGCACACTCACAGAAATTATTACTAACATACACTCAGTGTAGTTACATTATAAACCAGAGTTTGGCTCTGTAGATGTTGAAGAATCAAAAACCTGTCTGAGCAGGCTTCTGCAACAGGGACTGCCTAGACACACTTTCAGACAGATGTGCTCATAGATGAGTAGCAAGCTATATATATATATATATATATATATATATATATATATATATTATTTGGTACTATCTGCATTTTTATGCATCCATTAGGGGTCTTGGAAGATATCCACCACAGATAGAGTCAAGATGCTGTCATAATGGCCAAACTATTTGTTCCCAGGTGTCTATTTATGGGGTGGAAATGAGAGGAGAGGTACCAGTTATTGGCACTGAGTTCAAATTCTGGCAGAAATATTTTTACATTCACTTCACATCAATACCTTTTGGAAAAATTCCCTTTCCTTGTCCCCATCTGCTGTCCTATTAATCGCATCCCATACAGACATCATAGTGGAGAAGGAACTTGATTAATAAGTCAACCATTCTCCCATAACTAATTCATAAGACAGTAGCAACAAGAAGACCTTCCACTTTGATTGTCAAATTTGACAGCATCCAATCTACTAAAATACTGGTAAATAAAATATCAAGTATGAATCGTAAGCAGTTGATACAAGAGAAACAGTGATTTTATTTCAAAACCTGTTCATTCGAAATAATTTTATTTAAAAGTTCGGGTGAGGGAACATAGAATATTCATCCTTTGTGTCTCTATACCAGCTACTAATCATTCTTCCTTTACAATGGTTAACAGAGTTACTACTGCTGTAGTAACTGCTGTTCTCACCACTGAATCTAGAATTACAATTGCCGTCTGAACATTTGACCCAAGTTCCCTCTTCAGCAGTGACTGACTGACTCCTTCTATTTACGTATGCCTTCCTCTACATAGCAACAATAATTTATCAATAAATTTGTGCTGTGGAATTGATGGAATAAAATACACATATATATATATATATATATATATATATATATATATATATATATATATATATATGAAATGGACAAAGTCCGACAATTATTTTAAGACATTTTTATGTTTATACATTCTTTTTATATTTAAGTAAATGCTCTGTTTTTTATAACAAACAGTATTAATAACATTTACTGGCCTGAATGTCTGAGAAATTTTCATAGAAAATATTCATTCTCCGATTGAGATCGAACCTGTATCCTATACGGGATCGTCATTTAGCCTGTGTGCCTTAACTGCTCAATAATGTGTAACGTCATTTGTTTACATTTGGATACAGTTTGAGCATGAGAGATTCATGGAAGATTGAAGTTTAAAAACAGTAAAATCAACCTTGCTACTTGAACGATTCTCCGTGGCCAAATCAGTAAAGGCACGTCAGGCTAAATCACAGTTCCATATAGGATACAGGTTTGATTCCTGTTGGATAACAAATATTTTCTATGAAAATTTCTCGGACATTCAGGCCGGTAAATGTTATTAATACTGCTTATTATAAAAAAAACAGAGCATTTACTTAAATATTTGTATCTATAAAAAGAATGTCTAAACATAAAAATGACTTAAAATATATACATATATACAGATAGATAGATAGATAGATAGATATAGATATATATACCCATAGCAATTAATCAAATTTCTTTTCATCCATCATTTTCTTTTTTTAATCGGATTCACCCCAAGCAATGCAGTAAAGCCACTAAGACACAACAGGTTACTGGGTGTGGAAGAATAAGAAAAAAGAGAAATATTATTAAGGAGTGAGGGCAATAGAAGAGTGTTCAAGAAGACACCAGATAAGGATTGACATTACATTAAAATTTTAGAAGATCAAAGTTGGCCGGAAAGCATGGACTGAGATCAACACCAAGTATATATATATATATATATATATATATATATATATATATATATATATATCATAATGATAGAAAGAAAAGATGGCTAAAAATCCACATTTTTTAACATTTATTTTTAAAATGTGCTCAATACAAAGTATAGCAAAATATTATTATATCATTTTTATTATAATAAATTACAATAAAGCATTTTACATTGCTACACAAAAACTTTCATGTTTCGGTACTGATATGGTATCTCATCAGGCAATGGTAGATAACTAATGTTAAAAATGATTTATTAGGGAAATTTAAAAAAGAAATCATTACCTCCTTTCATAAGTTAAAGAAGTGGGCATAAGGTCAGGATTAGAAATATACTTATGGGTATGTCTAGATTAACCAATGAACATTGCATCTATGCTACACTAACATATAAAAAATAAGGTCAGAGAGTAGAGGTGTGTGGGTTATTATCCCATGTCATGAAGACGAAAAGTTAGACATGTCTTTCAACAATGCTAGGGAACAATTACCTTGACAAATATAATAATGGTGTATACAAGTATGATTTGGCAATTTGTTGAAGTAGAGATAAATTCATCAGAAATGGATTCTTTTTTAAAATACTCAGGGAGCCTCTTAAAGGGACCTTTGGATAAAATTAAAAATATGGAAATATCTATATAAGTTGTTAATTATACTGAATAGATGGCAAAACATGACAATATCATAGTTGAATAAATCGAATAAATGTTGTGTGGACCATTATATACTAGTAAAATATTGGCTAAACAATTATAATACATAATTATTAAAATATTTTTAGTTATATTTTAAGGTGAAGAGTGAACAATGGCGGCATAAAACCATTAATTTATTTCTTTGGTTTAACAGGTTTTTATTGTTAGGAAACTTGATAATATGAATTTTTTCTTGTAAACATAAATGACATGGTTCATATTAGGATTTACAGGTTCCAGTTATTTTTAATATTTTCCATTTTACCATAGGAATTTTCTTTACAACGTTTAGGTTCCAAACCTATTTCGAGAGGGACGTTTTGTTATGATACATTTTGGGGAAAAATATTACCAGCAATAAATATTTTGTTGGCATTAAATAATAATAAAAATTAAACATGTTATATTGATAAATGTTTCCTATTTATTTTTATCATATATATATATATATATATATATATCCAGGTAAGATGAGAACAAATAGAGTGCAATTAAAACATTCATAACATTTAATTTAAAAGAAGGCTCAATACAAAGTAGAGTAATATTAGCTATTTCAGGATATTACATCAAAAACATGTCAAAATTGCTACACAATTGCAGTTGTGTTTCAATGCATATCAATGCATCTCATCAGGCAATTGTAAATTACTGGTGAGTGAATGATTTATACATTTAGTTTATAATTGATATGCATTGCATTGAAACACAGCTGCAATTGTACAGTGATTTTGACATGCTTTTGTGTAATATATATATATATATATATATATATATATATATATATATATATGTGGGCGGGGGGATATCCAGATGGTTAATAACTCAGAACAGGAAACTAGCAAGCTGAGATTGAATTCTGGTTGTGTTATTATATTCATTTTCATACAAATACTCTTGGGAAATGTACGAATCCATATCTTCTCTTCCCAACTATGGATTAAATAGTAGGACAGATTAAGATATTTTCCCATGGTAGGCAATCATTCTACAAGAAGGAAAACTTTGAATTCAAAACCTGAATAGGGCTGTTTAGAGACTTCTTGGCACAGTTTACATCATTTCCTTATGATGTTCCAAAAAGAAAGTCCTTGTCTTGAACTCTTATTGGATTTAAAACTCCCTCCTAACCTCAAATGAAACACATTTATTCCTGCCACAAAAACATGCTGAAAGAATGGTTCATTCAATGTATCACTGTCATGCTCTATCTTTACAAGAGTCAGATCAAACCAAGAATTAATGTTACCATATCTGGTTTGGTGTTTCCCAACTCTCACTCAATAGAGTGCAAAAGTGATTATGCAGCCTTGTTAGTGATGAATTATTCTCTACCCTGCAACCCTAATCAGATATACAAAAAAATTTGCTACCTCTCACTACTCTATCATGATTACTATGGCAAATCTTCAAACAAGTTACATTTCTTAGCTCCACCAGTTCAGACCTTCACAGCTTTGACTCACCATTCCGTGTTCAAGATGTCAAATCATCCTTATTCATGCTCTTCAGATAAAAAGCAAGTTCCCCTGAGACAGCTTCTTCTCCAGAACCGCTACTGCAATTTTGTCCAGGGTCAACCAATATCTATTCTATTTGTCTTTATATTATTCTCTTACTTCCCCCTCCCTTAAAATTTCACTCAGTAACCCTCAACCCTAAGTGACCCTTGAGCTTTGTATTGAACTATCAGTAAAAATAAAATGTGGAGATAGTCTAACAGTCCAATTCTAGGAATATTGAGCAATGGGTCAGTACTTAGGTGGGGGACCACATGGGAATGGCAGATACTGTAAGCAACCTCCTAGAATCTGAAATGTTTTAGCTTTAATATAATTCACAAATGGTTGATATGCTGTAAAAAAAATCACTCAATCCAGGAGATGAATTATTAAGCCCTCATAAGTTGTAGTTGAGAAAAGTTCCCTCAAATATCTATAAATGTTTATTGGGGTATAGTGTTCAATATTGGGGATGGAGCGTCTGTAGATATAGACAGTGGGGACATAGAAATAGGTCACTGAGGGATTACACCGGTCAACATTTTTTTTTTACCCAAATGTTGTTGGTCACATGTTTCTGGGCTACTTTTTCATCCTCAATCTGAAAGACAAGTCCATTTTTTCTCATCACATCATATTTTCTTAGTACAGAAAATTTCTATTTGCTTGTAAGTGAATATGACAAACCCAACTGAAATTAGAAGTCAGCTTTATTCCCAAATGGTCACCCATCTAGGTACTGATCAGGCTCAACATTGCTTAACTTTGGTGATCATACAGGAACCAGTGTTTCAAAGTCATATTGCCATAAGCCTTGCTTTGTCGTCATAATGCTGGTTATATTGTTATATTGTTTTTTACTACAGTTGTATTGAAATATGTGTTAATTTGGTTTGCAATAAATAGTAAAATAATGGTATTTCTTAAAGAATATTTTTTTTATTGACAAACAAAAGATAGCTATTCTAGTTTATTTAAAGAATTAGCAATAAATTTGCTTCAAGTTTTGTAAATGTTGATAAAATATAGCAAGAGTAAAAAATATTCAAGACTGGTATGGGCTGCTTAGAGGGTGGTAGCTTTGTCTGAGAGCATATAATAATTTCATAAGCATCAGGGCTTCAAAATGTCATAATCTGGCCTGATTATAAGGGTGCAGATTTTGTAAATAAAATGTGCAATTTTAACATATAATAAAAACAAAAAGCATCCCTATTCAATAACCCTCTACTTAGAGTGCCTCTTCAGTATTGTATTGTATGAATAATAGCATAAAAAATGGAAAGATACACCTGGATGCACCGGTAGTGTAATAGCTATTGAAGCATAATGGTTATTAAAGTAGAAAGTGGAATTGTCAAAACACGCTATAGTTTAAATAACAAAGAAGACTATGCTATGTTACTTTGGTTAGCAGCCAGTCTAGGACAGGAAAACTTTGAATTCAAAACATGTATATCCAGATATTGGTCATTTATTGTCATTAGGCATTGACATTATTTCAGAGAAGTTGAAGGCCTTGCCAGTAAATTATTAGGAGAGCTGTTGTCAAATTGTGTGGCACATTAAGCTCTGTTTCTCTGTTATCAGTTCTTTCAAAAATGCGTCAGGTTCTACCCAAGCCTACACCCACTACAATCAAATTATCTGGGTGGGGGTAGTCTAGCAATTCAATTCTAAACTGAACCATTGGACCCTCATATATCAAAATTGACAGCAGTATCCATTATATATGAACATATGTGTATGGTGATAGATAGATATATATAAACATATATTACAATGCATATATGAAAGTAAATTTATGCTTATGTACATATATATGAGCATGTGTATATGTATGCATATGTACACATGGACACACACACACACACACATTATTATTACTATTATTATTATTATTATTTTTATTAATATTTTATTATAAAAAATTCCATTGTTTGTAGATATTAATATTTACTTTTTAAAAAGTGCTCAATACAAAGTAAAGCAATATATTATTATAATTTTTATTATAAGAGATTATAATAAAAACATCGCTACACAAAAGCTTTAATGTTTCAGTACTTTGATTGTACTTCTTCAGGTGATGGTAAGTAACTGGTGATTAAATGATTTTTAAGAAAATTTAAAAACAAAGGGTTACCTCTTTTCCAAAAGTTGAATTGCTGGGGGAATTAAAAATAGACTTGTGGGTATGTCTTGATTAACCAATTAAATGTCAGATCTACGCTTAACAGAAAAGTAAGCTCAGAGGGTGAAGGTGGGGGAGTTATTTTTTCATGTCATGTTAAACTGGTACATAGACAGGTCATCATTGATGATTACAGAAAATATGTCAGCAAAAAATGTATTGTGATTGTAGACAAATAAGACATGTTCAAATTTTTTGAAAGGGCATTGAGGGCAGGGGGGGGGTAGGTCAATCAGATGTAATGTTAACAGGAAAAAATTATCTTATTGTTGTTGCTTTTTATCCCCAAAGTCTGGGTCAATACACTTTCCATTATTACTATTATTTTATTACTAGTTTAACTCCATCATAAAAATGGCTATCTGTCTTAGAGCAAATTTCATAGAAGTATGATTAATGAAAAAAAAACAGTTAACATATGGTAAATGGAAAATATTGAGCTAACTTCAAATTCCAGACTTTTTCTGCGGCACTCACTTTTACAAAAATCTAAAAGTACAAACTTGGTAAAGCAGGAATCCAGTCATTCTGTCCATCAGTTCTGTCTCAATAAGAAGAGTGGCTCACTGGCTTTGAGTAGAAGCCAGGTGAAGAGAAGGGTGACTCTGAATGAAAAGGAACAATGGCATCCTCTTTCCCAAGAAGTCGTGGCAATTCATTGTTAATGAATGTATAGAATTAGGGGAGAACCATAATCACCTCTGCCCTAAAAAGTAAAAAAGGACGATGACATTGTAATAAAAATCAAAGAAAAACTTCAGTGGCTAAAGTGGTTAAGAACATCTCCATTTATTTTTATTTATTTATTTATTTTGATGATCTATTTGTGAGTGTAATGAAGATAGTCATTGCTATATGGGCACATGGCTGAGTGGTTAGAATGTTTGCATTCTGATTATATGGCACCTTTTTGTGCCTGAAAACCATACCACAGATTGACCTAAGGCTTGTGTGTGAAATTTGGTACTCAGAACCAGTGGGAGGCATCAATAGCTGTGCTAGCATGAAGTCACAAGTCATTGTGACCGAGGGATTGAGCATTCTAGCCTTGTTAAAACTGTTGATCATTCTAGGTAACGCACTCTTTCCTAGAAACTGTAACTAAGGTCTGCTCAGCATAGTTGCAGTATAAACCATAGGTGGGCTCTGTGGGTGTTGAATAAGCACAAACGTGCCTGAGCTACTATCTGCAATAAGGATTGGCTAGCCTCCCCAATAGACAGATATCCTCGAATAAAAATGATGTTGCTGAGTAATCCTGTCCTTGTACTAAACTCAGATAAGCTTAATAACTAGCAAGATAGATGCCAACAAGTTTGAGTAGTATTTTGAAAACAATGTCTTAAGTAGAGAGTTTCATTTATCTTTAGTACCCGACTACCATGGCCTTGTGCCACAACGTTTTACCATCACCAAATTTGGTCCCTTCATGATAAATGATTGCACCCTTGATGAGACTCTTTGCTTTGGACATCAACTGGGACTAAAGTTCACCTCAAGTGGAACTCATATATCGATAAAGATGCTGAAAAAAATGGTCATCTTTTTGTCGTACTCTACAAAACACCTGACTAAACCTGCTATGATCTATCTTTACAAGAGTTAGAACAGACCGAAATAGGAATATTGCTGTAGCCCAAACCTTACTTTCCAATCTTGACAGAAATCATTTACTCAGCCTTGTAGGGGATAACATTTTCCACCTAAGGGTCCCTATCCTGTAGATGCAACAGCACAAACCTATAATGACTCTATTACTACTTCCATAGAAAATCATTTGAAGAACTTCATTTTTTCAAACCACCAGTTCTGACCTTTAGTGCCAAGACCAACCTTGCCACATCCACAGAGCCGAATCACCCTTATTCCTTATATATTAATTTTCCACTCTGAAAGCTTCTTCCTAAGAATCACTGCTTTGTGGAACAGACTCACATGTGGATACTTCCCTGAACACCACAATCTTAATGTCTTCAAGTCTAGAGTCAATCATTATCTATATGCTGTATCCATCTAAAAAAAGCTAACAAACAACTCTATAAATAGCCAAAAAACTGCACCTGTATTCACAATTATTTCCACTCAATAACCCCTAGAATATATAATCGTTACCAGCCACCAAAACAACCATTAGTACAATAGACTAATGTAGATTACCCACAATGCATCACTGACCTGTATATAGAAATAGACAAACAAAAACACAGCACATATGGCCTGTCAATTGTTTATTAGTATTGTAAACTAGAAAAGGTTACTGAATGAGGAACGAAAACAGAAGTTGGAAATGAAATGGTAATCTTTATAACATCAACAAAATACAATACTCACCTGTGGCATGAAGTAGGTAAACCACTGCTAGTGGTGGACTACATAGACAGCATATTATCCCCACTTAAAATAGTGTCCAACGTATTTATGAGAATTGGGACATGCCCACTAGTGTATATAGGTACAGTATATAACAGACTGTCGCCTCTGGGTGTTGACTTTAATGTCAACTTTTATATATATATATATATATATATATATATATATATGTGTGTGTGTGTGTGTGTGTATGCGCTATATATTTTCTCAGGAAATCCAGTTAAGCTCCCTGTAGAAAAGGATAATTTTAAAAACAGTGGCTCCTACTGCTATTAATGCATTGCTCTTCAACTATGAATTGAGTTCTCCAGGCTACTGGCATGTTTCATATAGAAAACATTAAAATTTCCCTTTGTCTCTGCCATAAAACAAATAAATGGAATGGCTACTTAAATATTCATATCCACTAAAAATAACATTTAAGTAATAACATTTGCCAAATAAATAAGTAAAAATCCATGACTTCTTTAGAAATTGCTTTGTTTACATTAGGATATGAAACTGAGCTGATATGAAAGTTTCAAGAGTCTGAGAAAGATTTGCAATTATAAGCGGGACACACACATATATATATATATATATATAAATGGACACACACATATATATATATATATATATATGTATATATATTCCTAAAGAATTAATGGATTTACTTTTTAATCAGACTTATTTTTATTACTACAAAGCATATTTTAGTCGATAACGTGCATATTTTCTTTATTACTTTTCTAAAGTCCCCAGTCTGATAGACCAAATAAACACTGTTAAAAAAAATAATGAATTGTCTACTTGAATGTGGGTATCCACTAAAAGTTAATATATATATATATATATATATATATATATATATATATATATATATATATATATAAAATATGTGGTGCAGTTCAATTTATATTACATGAATCATTCATACAATAAGTAGATTAGTAAAGTTAATGACATAAATGGCGAAAAACATCTTCGCAAACAAATTTATTAAAGTTACATTAATCTATGAACCACTCGATGGATGTTATGATCCTTGTTTTTAATAACTTCAAGTTGTATAAGGTCATTTTTTTTATTTTGCTAGTACTTTCAGCTGTACTTACAGCCATCCTCATGCATGGAAATTAATTTGTTTTTTTAGTAAATACAGGTAGTAGCAGGACACGAAAGATTAAATGTTAATCAAAATATGTTTTTTTAGAAAAGTGTTATTATTAATGGATGAGAAAAACCTTGTTGCTAAGTGCTCCAGACACACAGCCTTTTACCCAAGTTGGTGTAATTCAGGAAATAATAGTTGAAGGAATACAATGAACATTTTAAAAGTTCTTTTCTTTTTAATTTTTATATATGGGGAAAATAAAGCAATCACTGAAGTCAATATGAGAAACTCGGTTGTAGACATGAGTTGATCGGATTTGAGTCAGTGTTCCAGTTGATCCCATTTACTGTACCTGTCAAACCATCACAGTCCCAGATTGTAAGCTAGAAAATAAATATAACTGTAACACTGCATGGCCATAAAATTGGGAAATGTAGTGTTTATGGGTGTCATATGGTCAATTCTATGAAAATGACACCAGCAAGTTTCTAGTGTGAAAATATAAAACATAAGCATAATGACTACATTGTCACAATAAGGTGATGGGCTGCTAAAAATGATTGAGATAGATAGATAGATAGATAGATAGATAGATAGATAGATAGAAACAAACTGAGATAGATAGATAGATAGATAGATAGATAGATAGATAGATGAAAAACAATAAAATATGAACATAGATACCTACAAATAGAGTGCAGATGGATAGGTAGCTACAAACAGTGCAGATAGATAGATAGATAGATAGATAGATAGATAGTGAATGATGTATAGAGACCAAGCAGACATGAACAGAGATAGACTGCAGATAGATAGATAGATAGATAGATAGTGTTGTAGCATACCTAAAGATGATAACGGGTAATTCCCATTCACGTAAATACAGTAGTAAATACTATATGTTGGTCTACAGGTAGACAATCATTGTGGAATTCACTTGACACACTTCAAGCATTTAACTACTTCTTCTACATGCCAAATCTTATATGTTGTTCTTGTCCTAAGTATTAGCATTTATTACCAACCTTCATGTGATTATACTATTCAGTAACATTCACTAGGTTACAACAAATAGATAGATAGATAGATAGATAGATAGATAGATAGATAGATAGATAAATAGATAGATAGATAGATAGACAGACAGACAGACAGATAGATAGATAGATAGATATTGGCTTTGATATAAAAAGACCAAATACATATGAACAGAGATAGACTGCAGATAGAGAAATGGATTGATAAATAGCCAGATAGATAGATATGCTGTGGATGAGATAGATAGAAACTAATAGAGATATGAACACAGAAAACTATAAACAGACTATAGATAGATAGATAGATAGATAGATAGATAGATAGATAGATAGATTTGAAAAGGTTGATATAGATACAGACCAACATTGTGAAAGATAGATATGAATAGATTGATACATATAAACATTATGAGGCTGAGATAGATACAAAGCAATACAGATATTAAAAGAGATAGCTACAAAAAAACTGCAGATAGATATTAAGAGGTTGAACTAGATAGATAGATAGATAGATATATAGATAGATAGATAGATAGATAGATGAATCGCATTTAATGTATAGAGACCAAGTAGACATGAACAGCAATAACTACAAATAGACTGCAGATAGATTGATAGATAGACAGATATTAAAAGATTGAGATTGATAAATGGATATGAATTGGTTTTAATAGACCAAGAAGACATGAACAGTAATAAATACAAATAGACTGCAGATACATAGATAGATATTATACATAGATAGATATTAACAGATTGAGATAGATAGATAGGTAGATAGATAGATAGATAAATAGATATGAATATATATATGTTTATTGTATATTTTGGCTATAAATGTGGAAACATGATATATTTATGATATATTAAGATGTGTATTATTCTCTCATAGTGAAGCAATAAAAGGCAAAATTATGAGGTCTATATAAGCAATGATACGTCAAGATATACCGGCCCATAAATATTAAATGTCATGCCGTACATTAAGTAAGCACTCGGATATCTACAGCTACACCAGATAAAGCAGGAAATTTTATGAATTAAGATATATTGTAATTTTAGCTATAGCCTTTTAGATGTTGCTTGTTATTTCAGATGATTAGTAAGATTATTAATCCTCTTTGGGTACAGAGGCTTACGACCATTTCACATTGAAATGCTAGTTCCCATATGATCATGGAAGTTAAGCAACATCTAGGCTGGTCAGTAACTAGATGGGTGACCACTTATAAATACAAGGAGCTGTAAGCTTGGATGTGCTAGTGGTGTAATGGATAATGGCTTGGAATTGTTAATCAGAGAGTTTAGTTCCATTTCTTATTGGCTTTCTATGCGCAATTACCCTTAGGAAAGGTATGAATCCACCTCTTTTCCCCTCAGCTATGGGTTAATTAGTAAGACTTGTAGCACTAAAACATTATCATTCAAAAAAAATTCTTAAAATATAAAAAAAAATTAGTCTGGCTTTAAATGACAATTTATGTGTTGATAAGTAGTAGAAAATAAATCAATCAAAAATATCTTTGGAGAGATAACCTTGTATGAAGAAATGAAATTTACCCCCTTCAGCTTTTTCTGGCATTTTCTTTATTCATGCTATAGAAATAATGCGAGAATAGAATGACATAAAATAAGAGAATGACTAGCTGATCTCTCCTCTGATCGAACTCTAGCAGTTCAATACGAAAAACTCTGGCTGATCATATTCAGTGCCTCAAAGACTAAACTAGTAACTTCTGTCATCACTGATCGAACTGAGAAACTTCAGCAACCATGATGAATGGATCTTCCTTCAGGGCAGACCTACACCTTGAGTGCTTACTGGGATTTAAACTCAACCCAGATCTCAAGTAGATCTCATACATGCTGGAAGCATATGCCCAGTCTTCAAGAACCCAGGCAATTGATCATCACCTGCCAGTATTGACCAATTAGTTTCCACAGAATTATCAGTAAGCTTTAATCAACAAGAAGGTCATTGAGTACCTGAATAGGAACAAACTCTTGTGCGATGAGCAGTATGGGTTTCAATCAGCCAGACCACTGCTGATGTCTTAACTACCATTACATACAGAATTAGCGAGGCCCTTGACAACACATACTGCAAGGACCATAGCATATCTCAAAGGGCTCTGATAAGGTATGGCACAAAGATTTGGTACACAAGCTCTTCAGCTATGGAATCACTGAAAAGGTTTTCTCTATTATAAAATCCTTCCTAACAGGTAAATCCCTGAAGGTAGTTATTAACGTCCAGTCATCTGAGGCCCTGGTGGTCAATCCAGGGTTCACTTCTTGAACCATCCCTCTTTCTGATTTACATAAATGACCTAACTAACAATATACTCTGAACATTTGTAAACATTTATGATGATGATACAATGATATACAGGGGCAAAATGATCAGAGTTTGGCGACTGACCTCTCTTCTGATCAAACACTAAGTTCCTAATGGGGAAAAAACTGACTGGTTACATTCAATGCCTCTAAGACCAAAGTGGTTACATTCCATCACTGCCAATCAGACCCCAAACTACCACCAGTCACAATGAGCAGATGATCCCTTGAAGAGGCCCTGTGCCTCAAGAGGTATTGGACCTCAAACTCATAATGGTATCATCTTTCCCAAGAAGTCATGGCAATTCATTGTTAATAAATGTATAGAATTAGGGGAGAACTATAATCACCTCTGCCTAAAAGTAAAAAAGGAAGATGACATTGTAATAAAAATCAAATAAAAACTTCAGTGGCTAAAGTGGTTAAGAACATCTCCATTTATTTTTTTTTTTTTTGCAGGTCTATTTGTGAGTCTAATGAAGATAATAAGTGCTATATGGGCACATGGCTGAGTGGTTAGAACATTTGCATTCTGACTATATAGCACCTTTGGAAAGTGCCTGAAAACCATACCACAAGTTGACTCAAGCCTTGTGTGTGAAATTTGCTACACAGAACCAGTGAGCGGCATCAATAGCTGTGCTAGCACAAAGTCACAAGTCATTGTGTCCGAGGGATTGAGCATTCTGGCCTTGTTAAAATTGTTGATCATGCTAGATAACACGCTCTTTCCCAGAAACTATAACTAAGGTCTGCTCAGCATAGTTGCAGTATAAACCATAGGTGGGCTCTGTGGGTGTTGAATAAACACAAATGTGCCTGAGCTACTCTCTGCAATAAGGATTGCCTAGCTGCCCCAATAGACAGGTATCTTCGAATACAAGTGGTGTTGCTGAGTAATCCTGTCCGTGTACCAAACTCAGATAAGCTTACTAACTAGCAAGATAGATGCCAGCAAGTTTGAGTAGTATTTTGAAAACAATGTCTTAAGTAGAGAGTTTCATTTATCATTAATATTCCACTACCATGGCCTTGTGCCACAACTTTTACCATCACCAAATTTGGTCGCATCATGATGAACGATTGTACCCTTGATGAGCCTCTTTGCTTTGGACATCAACTGAGACTAAAGTTCACCTCAAGTGGAACTCATATATATGACCCATCACTAAACATGCTGAAAAAAAATGCTCATCTTTTTGTTGTACTCCACAAAACACCTGACTAAACCTGCTATAATCTATCTTTACAAGAGTTAGAATAGACTGAAATTGGAGTATTGCTACTATGTGTGAAGTGGAACAGCCTAAACCTCACTTTCTCACTCACACCCGACCTCAGTTAGAATTCCTATATACAATCCATCTCAAAAGATGCAGGTAAAATGATTAGCTCCTGTACCAGTCCAGTAAGTACTTGACTCCTCATGATATCCTCTACCTTTTCCCGATTGACCAGCCAGATCAGATATTGGGCCTCAAACTCACATCCGACCTCAAGACAAGCTCCTTCGCTAAAGATGCACGTAAAATGATTAGCTCCCTTTATCACTCCAGTAAGTACTTGACTTCTCATGTTGTCCTCTACCTTTATAAAAGACAGATCAGGCCGAAAATTGACTACTGTTGCCATATTTGGGTGGGGGTTGCCCAAACCTAACTTTTCAGTCTTGATAGAGTTTGAAAGCTTCTCTGAGTCTTTTTTGGTGAAGAATTATTTTCCACACTTCAACATCTCTCTCACAGGCAGGGATGTGGTGAACCTCTCACTGCTCTATTGCTACTACCATGGAAAGTGCTCGGACAAACTGCATGACCTGGTTTCACCAGGTTTGACCTTTATAGCTAGGACCCACCATACCACTTACATAGTAACAAACCACCCACATTCTCTCTGCATTCATCGTGAGAAGTAGTCCCACTAAGCTTCTTCCCACGAACCACTGCCCAATGGAACTGTGGGAGGTAACGCAACAACTCAACTGATGATAGCAGGTAGGAACAAAAAAAACCGTGAGGAGGGGGTGACCAAAAACCCCCAGTGTCACACGTCCAACCTTCTCACAAGCCGAAAGCTCTCTGATCCGAAACAGCAAAACGAGCCTGCTTTATACAGCCAAGGACCGACCACGATTTGCTTGCAAATGACGAGACAACGAGATTTCGCATTAACTAACCGAGACCGCCCGGCATAAAATATGGGCGCTGCCATTTTGGTTCCTTTTATCGTTGGGAGAACCGGAGTTTGCACACTGCACAGATTCGTACGCGAAGGTAAGCCATTTTGACAATTTTCCCCACAGGAACAGACTCCCTGTTCAATTCTAGAGTCAACCATTATCTTCACTGGTTATCTATATAAACTTTCCCTTGTCATAACCCTCTACCTCAAGTGGTCCCCAGGCCTTGTACAAATTGAACCTTACTTTTAAAAAATACAGTCAGTTCCCTGTACTACACCATTATGTGCACCATTCCTCCTGCTATCCTCTACCTTTACAAGAGCCAGATTAATCCAAAAAATGGAAAACCGATGCTATATATGCTTCAGTCTTCACTTTCTACTCTCAGAAGAGTCCATAAATGTCTCCACATCCTTGAAGACAACAAATTATTTTCCAATCTGCACTGCCTTTCTCAGAGATGAAACATCACAAACCTTTCACTGTTCTGTTGTTATTTCCATCATGAGTGTTCAAATGAACTACATTCCTTTGTTCTCCCAGTTCTGACCTTCATGGATAAAACCCACCATGTCATGCACATTGTAGCAAACCATCCTTATTCCCTTCATATCTCTGGGTGAGATACAAGTTCCACTCAAGTAGATTCTTCTCACAAACTGCTGCCTTGTGGAAATGACTCCCAAAAGGCTGCTTCCTTGATCACTGCAATCTTATGCTGTTCGAGTCTAGAGTTAACTTCTGCATATATCTACATCAACTGACCTCTAACTCTTTAACCCTTTACCTCAAGTGTCCCCAGAACCTTTTACAGGATGAACATCACTGTAAAAACAAAAGAAAAATGTATGATCAATGTATCACCCAATGACATCTGCTTTATGTGCCATGTTCTTTCAGGATGTAAGCGATCATGGCTCTCCGCAATTTCCTGTCCTTCATAGCTCTTCATAAATTTTGTCTTTTTATTTCTCCTCTTTTCTCTTTGATGTAATGAATATACATACACTTGGGTTCCCCCTCACAGTAATATGATTGGCTGGTGTCAGCCATAAATACAGACTGATGTGGAGGTATATTGGTCTACATCTATTGGCTACGCCTATTGCCTAAGCATATTGCCTATGACTACGACGAGTACTAGTCCATTACGGCTACCTGCTAGATTGTCCTAACCGGTTACAGTAGACAAAATCACTTAGCTACTTCGAACAAATATGTCCAGGACATATCACTCTTGAAACAGTCTCATGATATCTTTGCACTTTTTAAAACCAATTTAAATTCTTACTTTGCTACCAATGAATTTTCTGTTCCAGATTATCTTCTTCACTGTAAAGATTCCATGGTACATATGCATGGCACTGCTGATTATATCTTCTATGTGAAGTGTCCCTTTGCGATGTTTGCGATCATGTCTTTCCCCAATTTCCTTTCCTTTGTAGCTCTTAGTAAGGTTTGACTT